CGTCTTGGGTGGCTGGTGGGGTGGCCAGCACCAGGGTTGGCCCCCGCTGGGTGCCATGGCTGGACCACCAGCACCCTGAGATGGAGGGTCCACACGGAGCAGCCCCGGTGAAAGCTTTGCTGCTGGCTCAGGGTTCAGAGAGCAAACATCGAGCCCAGAGGTGCCCCTGGAGCCGGCTCCTTGGTGTCAGCGCTAACCTACCTTCCAGCCCAGAGCTCGTCCCCAGCCTGTGACCACAGGGTTGCGCAGGGTGGGGGGATTCTCTTTGCTCTTTATAGGATAAATCGAATATGAAGGCCCTTGCAAGCATTTTCATCAAATGCCAGGGGTAGCTGGGTGGGCACGGCTGGGTGATGGACGGATGGGGACGGCAGTGGCTTCAGACTTGGTGCTTGGGACAGGCGGCCCGGGAAGGTCGCATCTCTGCAAAGCCTCGAGGGCTGCGAGTGCCCCAGCTGGGCAGGGACACGAGATCCCTAAGGACTGCCGAGCCCCCTCGCCGCTCTCGGAAACACCGAAGCCATAAACATCAGCAAGCCTCTCTGCTGGACCCAGGCTCTGAATTTCTGCTCCTTGCTCTCAGCTCTGGTTCAAATTCAGGACTTGGACTTGACCTGACACAGAGACAAGCTGCAGCCTGGACCGGGCTGGGGCCTTTGAGGCAGCAGGAGCCTGCGCGGCACGGCACAGCGTGGCACGGCACGGCACGGTGTGGTGCACCCCGGCGTTAGCTCACCCCAGGGTGCAATACCTACAAACCGCTTGGAAAGAGAAAGTTTCCCCACGCCGGGGCCTGCCCCATCGGTGCCCTGAGCCGCTCGCTCCCCGGTGGGCACTGCCCGACTGGTGTTTGCTTTTGTTGTGAAATCAGGGAGAGTTAATTGAAAAATTAATTTCCAGCGGCTCTCTCCAGTTAATTAGAGGTGCCGGTGGTGGGGGCGGAGGGCTGGCACTGCTGGCGGGGATGGTGGCACAGCTCTGCCTGGGCGCAGAGGAGGCTTTCATCACCCAGCCAAACGAGCTGGAAAACCCTCGTCTAATTATCTCCACAATATACCGCTACAGAAATCAGATTGCTGTGGTTATTAGCACTGTAACTGGAGAGCTCTCTGCATTATCCTGTGATTAAGGAGCGCGGGGCTTTGAAGAAAGTCTCACTGCAACCTCAAGACATAACTTTGGGCAATGGGTAGGGCAGTGCGGGATCCCAGCTCCGTCCTCTGCTCCCGCTGCCACATCACATCGCTTCTTCTCAGGGAGTTTACTGGTGGATACTGGAGAGGATTTCATGCTGCCGGGGGGGCGAGGAGCCAGGCAGGCTTCGGCACCGCGTGAACGGCTCCACGGTGGCTGTGCCTGCCGGGACGCTCAGAGCCAGCCAGCCTCAGCGCCCAGTCCCAGCACCCGGTCTGGTCCCCCAGTGACCCACTCCCAAAGCCTCCCCGCCACCCTGTGCTGTCCCAGGGTTGAGCTCAGCCTTTCCATTGCTACGGACTTTGCTTCGCCCCCATGTCTGAGCCGTCCCCGTCCCCCTCCCATACCTCCTGCACAGAGGCTGCTGCTGATGCCAAGAGCAGCTACTAATTCAGGGCGGCCATCCCAGAGCAAAGGGAGCCTGGGCCGTCCCGAGACCTTCGCAGCCCTCGTGGCGTGGCCCTTGCAGCTCACAGGAGAGCTCTCAGCCCTGGTTTCACCAGGACACAGCCCTGGGGAAGGTCCTGGCCGGTTTGCCCATCTCTTTCATCAGCACAGGCTATCATGATGAAAAGTAGGCAGCTATCTGCAAGCTGGTTTGAATGTTACTAACTCAAAGAAAACAAAATTCCAAGCGTGATCCAAACTGCAGCCTACAGGCTAACTGAAATCCAGACAAACATGTCTTCCTCGAACAATATGGGCTTTTTGGTCAAGGTACGCTGTCTTAAGAGTCAAATGTCTCCGTCTGAGCCTACATACAGAGGGAGGAAATGATGGCCTAAAAGGGTATTGTTTCTATGCATAGCCTAGCATCATCAATAAGAAATCTCGAAGCTAGGGTTGAGAACGGAGGTCCATACAGCATTCAAAAACCAGACAATAAATTGCACATTCCTTTAAACATGATTCTGAGTGGCATTTGTCATATAATTACATCTAGCAAATAAACTTAAAAAAACAACCCCACAGTTTCAGAACTAAAATACTTCAAAAAACCCATACACCACTGAACATATTAGTAAATCATTTAGGCTTACCACTAAAAGAAGGTTACATTGAAAGTTTGTATTTTGAAGAAAGTATATATGCAGAAAAGACCTGTAAGGTTATTATTCATTGCCCACTACTTTTAGTAGCTTCTAATCTACTACTCAAAAAACCCCAAACCCAAACCACAGTGTGCTTGCAAAAGACCAGGAAGAAATTAAGGCAATGACCCTGCCCCATGTTACACTACTAAGAGAGGACAAGCAGTTAGGAAGACTGCAAGAAAGTGTTTAATGTAGCCAGCTGGTAATTAGATTACTCTCATTAAACTTGAAAGAATACACTGGTAAATTATGGCTCTGTATTTCTTTTTCTTCATATCCAAACCAGCTTACTTAAAAAAGGTAACATTTCTAATCCATTTGCATATATTTCCCTTGAGAACAAAAAAAAGTCTAGCAAAAAGACAAATATAGATTAATACCAGGAAACTGTTATCTACTGTGCAGTCATATGAAACTACAGTTTAGTTTTCACTCAAGTTTCAAACCTTTAACTTTCAAACTAGGTTTCCCGGGTGCTCAAGTGGCTGCTTGAAATCTGATTCATAACAATACTACATAATTATTAATTAAAAGAGAAGCAACAGATGCAGTAAATACTAAACACAGTACTCCATAAAAAGAGTACTAGCTGCTGAGAAGAAAAATCATAGAAATATTTATCCCAAGTCCTTATCCTTGTTACAGTGTGGCACTGGATAAACCCTGATTTCCATGCATAATCTTATGTCTCAGCAGATTAAGGTCCATTAAGGTTTGTGAAGAATTTCAAGAATACTTAATA